AGGTCTACAAGCTGTTATGCTGCAGTTTTGGCCCATTTGAGCCCCCCCCTTCCCCCCCCGGGTTCCCCCGCTTGGAGGGCCTCCCCCCCCCCCCCCCTCCCCGCCCTGCCCCCGCCTTTCCTCCTCTCCCCTTCCGTCGCAGCTCCACTCATATACTGCCTCGCCATCGCCTGCAGGTGCAGGGGAAACACGAAACGGAAATTGATGGGCTTGCCCATCCCGGAGTGGTTCGACTCCACATAAATCCGAGACGGTGACGGGATGCTGTCGTGTGATGGTCTCAGGCCCAGTGAGGTAGTGCATCTGACTATCCCGGATCCTGCTGAACAAGTTCCTCTTGTAGCTCGATCGGTCACACCGCCATCGCCGTCGGGGAGAGGGGGGACGACACTGCTTCGGCAGCGTGCACCTCGATCCTGTACCGTGTTTGTTATGACCCCCCCCGATGAACACACCAGTGAGGGAGGGCGAGACGATCGAGGGGTCCCGTACCATGCGGAATCGACCCTATCCAGTGCTCAAGTGCTCAGGTCTCCGCAAGTTTGGTCGGTCGTTTTTGGGCGCTAGCGCCCCAAAATGTCGGCCACCGCGGACGCCGGCGCGTGCACTCTGGAGGCCCACCCTTCGACACATCTGCTCGATTTGAGCGACGATGTTCTGTGGCACGTCCTGTGGCACACAACGCTCACCGCGCAAGCCAGCACTGCGGCGGAGTTTTGGGCTCGCCCTCAGGTGGAGTCAACGCCCGCTCCAGGCGCGGTAGTCGTGCTGCACTCGCTGGTCGGCAAGGCGGAGCTCAACGGCAAGCGCGGCGTCGTCAAGACGTTCGACGCGTCCCGCGGCCGCTTTGAGGTGGCAGTCGAAGGCAAGCCCCTCTCCGTGCGACAAAATAACCTTGCGCCGGCAGCCTCTCCGTGCGGACTGGCGGCGGACTTCGACGCTGCGGACCTGATGGGTCTGCGCGGCGCCTGTCAAAGATTTCGCGGGCTATGCAACGGCCTCGCTGTCCAACTCGATCGGGCTGTGCGCGAGCGAGCGAGAAGCGTGGCGGAGCATTTTCCACGATGGTCGACAGCGATCGGCTATGCCACATTTTCGGATGTCCCCCGCGCTCCCTGCGGCCATGGCCGATGCTCCTAGAAAGAGAGGTCATCTGGCTACCTCGAGAGCGACCCAACTCGTCGACATCGTCCGATGATGGTGCCGCGAAGTCAGCCTTCGGAGGCTATCGTGGGGTCGAGCCGCCGGCAGTAGCCGTGACATGTGGTTCCACCACCCCTCGTAGGCTTTGCCTCTGACCGCCACCATTCCCAGGCTGCCTAATGGGATGAAAAGGAAGGCTCGGCGAGCGTATAGAAGCGTGCTCGACCTCGTCGTGGCAACCTGTACGGCAGCGCTGGCAGGCGCGATGAGCGTCGTGCCACCTGACCCGAGACGGGTCGCAGGCGTCGTACCGAGCGCGTCGAGACCGTGTCCTGATGTGATCTGCACGGGTGAGTCACGTCGGCGTCAAAGGAGCGACGTGCGACCTGTCAGAGCTTGATCTCCAATCTCAGCGGCGTCGAGTCGTCTCCGGCGGCGACAATTTTGTCCCTCCCCAGGACGCACAGAGGCAGCTGAGATTGGAGATCAAGCTCTGACAGGTCGCACGTCGCTCCTTTGACGCCGACGTGACTCACCCGTGCAGATCACATCAGGACACGGTCTCGACGCGCTCG